AGAACTATGGTTGATTTTTACAAATTAACTCTCTGGATAAATCGAACAGTTACATCTACAGGATACAACCTGTACATGTGGCTGTGTACAACTTATTTATTTTTTAATATTTGAATATAACTGACTATTGTGTCCGTTTAAAAAAGCGTTTCGTTTTCAAATTCAAAATCTATCTCTGATTCGTTTTCCGTGATAAGAGCGATCGTTTCATTTAAAGTTATTTTTCATCGTGAGCAAAAAATCAAAGTCGTTAGAAAAAATCAAAACTACCAATCTCTATTTGCAGCAAATGCGTACATATTCTATTCTCTGCACTATTTTATTCTTGGCTGTAACAGGTTTAGATAAAAACCTTTAAGTTTTTTTTTCTGTTTAAGAAATATAAAATATAGATAGATATATATATATATAGATATAGGCTGAAAAGAAATCACTTTGTAGTAAATTAGGGCTGGGAATTGTTCATATTTTTCTCAACAAAATGGGGTTGTTTTTTTTTAACTCCTGATTGCAAAGTATGAGTTGTGTATGATATGACATTATTTAAATTTTTCTGTTAATCGTTAAAAAGATATTTTTTAATAAGACTGAAAGGTTCATTGAAATACATCCAGTTGTATCTAAAAATTAATTTTTAAACACAATACATAGCTTCACCATTTGGTTTGAAACAAAAGAAAAAAAGTTTAATTAGATAATTTTCTAATCAGAAGAAAGATTTTCAAAGTCATATTAATCTCACCATCATAAAAAAAGATTTACTTTGAGGCCACCCTGTAGGCTAAACACTTAAACAATCAATTTAAAGCAAAACATTAACGAAATTTTAATTTTTTTAGCTTATTCCAGTTTTCGTGCTAACATGAAATAAAATTCACGCATCAATTCAGGGCTGAATAGTTTCAAGCCTGAGGCGCAAAGTTTCAAGCATTAGGGGCGTAGTTGCAGGTCTGAGGTAATCAGTTTTATAGTTTGAAAGAGATATATCAAAATGAAATATATAAAGTTAGTATTCTCTACATAATATCGAACAGAATATTTGCAATTGCAAAAATATTTTGTTTTCATAAACTAGGGTTTCAGGGAGCTTTAACTGTGGCTCTATCTGTACAAAACAAAACAATAAAGAAATATTTCGAGGATTTATTATTTTTTTTCTCGTGGATTTTCAAAATTTTGCGAAAATAAAAGTTTTCTGGAGACAAAATTTTGTAATTATGGGGTGGGGTCATGGGAGTTACCTCAAAAATTTTGGGCCCGATCTGTTATAGTTTTGACGTTTAAATTGGATACAAACCAACATATGAAGATTAAATCCAAAGCTTAATTGAGTTTGCCTTTTCAGATTGCCGGAAAATAGTCTGATTCTACAATTTACATTTTTACAGACATTTACAAGAATGTGTTCTTAAACTGAATTGCATCTTGAAATATCACAAACTCTTATGATTATTCAATTACTGACTCATTATACTAAATCCATCTTAAAATTAACCAACTTTGTGATATTTCAAGATGCAATACTCAGTCAAATTTGTCAAAAATTTCATTGTAAAACAGTTTAAGAATTCAACACACAAAATATTAATCTTAAGTAGAATTGAAAAAATTGGTTGAGTTGTGCTTTTTGCGTGACGCGGCTGGATTTTTTAAAATCACACTTAAAAGGCCCTAAATATACCATTAAAAAAAGTAGTTTTGCCCGGAAGAGTCAAATGTGGTGGTATACGGAAGGGGAAATAGTGGTAGCTCATGGCCGCCTGCCTTCCCCCGCTCGTACTGTATGCAGTCAAAACATAAACAAACAAATTGTAAAAATAGCAGACGAAAATCTTACGGATTACAGCTTTCTCAGTAGGTATCAATACTTAATCAAAGAATTATTTGAAAAGACGATATCGAATTCGTCACTGAATTCCCATGTTTTTTGGGATACCCTGTACCATACTGTTCCAATTCCTGTTATCTGATTTATAACGTAATAGTTCAACCCACACTATAGTCTATACTGGTCATTCATTCGCATATTGTTAACGCAAGGTGATCCCATACGTAGTAGAGATTTTTCATGTTCATTTTCCCCTTCTAAATCTAAAGTCTGTATGTAACGAATATGTTCGTTTTCCCTTCTGAAGTTTGTATGCAACAAATATGTTCGTTTTCCCTTCTAAAGTCTGTATGTAACAAATATGTTAGTTTTCCCTTCTAAAGTCTGTATGTAACAAATATGTTCGTTTTTCCTTCTAAAGTCTGTATGTAACAAATATGTTCGTTTTCCTTCTAAAGTCTGTATGTAACAAATATGTTCGTTTTCCCTTCTAAAGTCTGTATGTAACAAATATGTTTGTTTTCCCTTCTAAAGTATGTATGTAACAAATATGTTCGTTTTTCTTCTAAAGTCTGTATGTAACAAATATGTTCGTTTTACCTTCTAAAGTCTGTATGTAACAAATATGTTTAAACGAACTCTGTGCTGAAAACATTAGCATTATTAGCATTATTACGTGAACACAATTTTAGTACAGTTAAACCCTAAATAAGCGCCATACATAGAACGAATTCATCAAATGTCGTATTCTTTACTTTCTGATAATGGAATGTTGCAGATAATTGTTTTTTTAATTAAATGATTATATGGAGCTCTTTAAAACTGTTCCCACATATTCATGGCTATTTATTTATTTTAGCAAATACTGAGATTTGCGTAAAATAGTATAAAACCCATTGAAAAATTGTCAAGACGACATTTGATAAATGTATGACTTATTTAGGGTTTAACTGTAGTATCCGATGTTAAAACAGTTAATAATAAAAACTACTAGTCTCTGGAGTTCAAAAGCGTTGTCTACCATTTTTGCACCTTCAAAATTGACGGAGATATTATAAGAAATCTGTTCCGATTCAAATTTATTAAAAACCAACGAATTTGGTCAAATGCTTTAATGCTTAACCCTATCCCTGTTGGGGTACTTGAAAACCAGGATATGCTGGGGGGGGTCAATTTGACCCCCCCCCCCTCTAAATCCCATGTTTTATGTCCAAATATGACAAATGATACATCATTAGAAAGCTCTTGTGCTCTACTTTTAGAATCTGCAAAAAAAATTGCAAATTTGCAAAAATTGAATTTTTTATCGCAAAATCCAGTTTTATAGTAAAAATGTTTGCAAAAAAAAATTTNGGGGGGGTTGCGAAGGTCCTGCCGCGCCCTCTGTATCCGCCCCTGAATACACATAAGTATTGTTATAATGTCGTCTTCCTCTTCCGCAGTTTCTGGTTACGACTCTAGGTTCTGAGTTGTTATCTGATCTGTGTTCTAAGCAGAGCTTAGCAAATTTTATACAGTGAAACCCTTAATAACGAATACATCGTAAGAATTCATAAAATGTTGTATTCTTTACTTTCTGATAATGGAATGTTGCAGATATTTAGTTTTTTTAATTAAATGATTATATGGAGCTCTTTAAAACTGTTCCCGCATATTCATGGCTATTTATTTATTTTCGCAAATACTGAAATTTACGTAATATAGTATAAAACTCATTGAAAAATTTTCGAGACGACATTTGATAAATTCTTCCGATGTATTCGTTATTAAGGGTTTTACTGTATAACAGTTAAGACCGGACCAACTTTGAAGTGCAAAGTGTTTCCAGGCCTTTTTCCTTTCTTCTACCTTTACGGTTCACTTTTACTTTCTTGCAGCTCTGGTCACTGAAGGTTTCAAAGCTGCGAATCGATTGTTTTGAAAGAATTATTTGAAAAGTTCAAATTGATTGCTATGTACGTCCGAATTTATTCACTGTGCCCAGATCACTTTTCGTTTCTACAGGTTTTCTGGGTTTTGAGTCTAAACTTATTATACTCTCCGCTGAACCCACACAATGTACTCATGAAGCCGTTCCTTCTTTTCGAATGTATGAACAAAGTCTGTCCCAATGACATACTTTGGGGGACGATAGTTTGGCCGCTACGAACGTTTTTATCTGATGGATAGATGCACACAGTAGGAGACGTCATCTGGTTGACCATTGCAGTGTTGATCAGGAACAGCTTTAGGTAATTGCTGTGTTTAGGTTGACTATAGAGATTAGAGATTAGAGATTAGAGAATACGTAGTTTGTTTATTTCTTGAATTTCCTGAATTAGGTTTCCAGTAAGTAAACAGTTACCAAACCGGCTCCTATAGTTTACACAATAATCATCTTTAATAATGATATTTATTAAATGGAACTGATCTTGTCTAGAAACTCATCTTGTCTAGAAACGTGGTACCCAACCAATAATTTAACTGATCTTGTCTAGAAGCTTGAATTCTTCCACCAAGATTCAAACTGATCTTGTCTATTATCTGATTTACCGCCCAAAGATCAAACTGAAAACTTAAAACGTGCTACTCTTTAAAATGTGAATTGAAATGGTTTTGTAAGAACTATGTAGCTTTAAGCCAGTCGTAAAATGTTTTTTATTATTCACACCCCTTGTTAGTAATAAAAAAAAGGTTGCGCTGAATTAGTTTATCTTGTTATTAGGTTCGGAAAATGCGCAAAAAACTAGATTATTTTACAACCCTTGCACAGTAAACATGGTGATTTAACCTGCTAATTAGTCTGGCCAGTTCTAAAGACCCAACCAACCCCTCTAGCATCTGCAAAAACGAATCCCAGAAGTTACAACCCTTATCTGAGAATCGAATCAGAAAATATTTTAACACTTCGCCACTTTACAACTACACGCTGATAACAATGTGACTATAACATTTTATTATGAAGCGGAGAGTGAATGAGGAAGCTTTCTGTTGCAAAGATACGCAAGTCAGTTTTTAGAAAAACCACAATTTAATCAAATATATTTAAGGCTAGAAAAAAACGATATCTGATTTGACTTCAGACAACCAGACCAGACCAGACCCTTTATAAATGGATGGTTACTTGAAATTACTTTTACACATGATATAGTCCTGATAATGTTTTTGTAATATGATTAATTTTTATTGTATATTCCTGTGATTTCTTTCTCCTAGAGACCAAAGATATCCCTGTAAAAGCCTAAACACGTTTAAAAATCTTAGCTGAAAGTACAATAAAATGAAGAATAAGTTATTGAAAATACCACTTAAAGATTGTTTCTAGAAGAATGTTTCAATCTGATAACGTTTTGGTAATTATTAACGGCGTTTTTGGCCCAAATGAGCTTATGAATTTTGATTGAGAAAGTATGGAAGAATGAAAGAAAGAAAGGATGAAAGGATGAAAAAAAGAAAGGATAAAAGAATGAATACCTAAGTATCCGGATTTGTCCCTGCTCTGGTTTAGTAAGAATAAGAATGAAGATCAACGAAAATAAAACCTGAAAAAAATCTCAATAATTAAACAATATAAAGGAATTTAGTCTTTGACACAAACTCCATGATTTTCTACTTCCTATATCTATGCAACCCAATGTCGTAGACCTTGAATATTTCAAACTATTAATCGTGGAAGATTAAACAATCTAAGTTTGAAATATCAACTATTAAACACCATAAGTTTGCAAAGATATAATGATTAGAAAATTTGAGTTTGTGGCAAAGATTCAATTAAATTCTGTGTATTTTATGTAAATTTGAGGGACTCTGTTTAAAGATTGGAATCCTAGATTCACAACGATATTTAAACCTTTATCTGTAATTTTTTCATTTTAAAAAGTTTTAATTCTGACAATATCCTCCATTGTTTCTGCGCAAGTAAATTGAAAGAGAACCCACAGTTGAAAATAATTAATGTTAAAAGAGAAGAAGAGAAGATTATGGATATCTCAATTATTTTTTTACTAGACAAATTTGAAGGAAACCGGTGTGAATCATCAGTGAATTTATAACTGGAGTGCCACTTGAAATAACATCTACAATCAATCAATTAATCCAACTTTAAATAGAAAAGAAAAAGGAATTTTAACAGTTTTACTCAAATCAATGCTCGATTTTTGTTTTCCTCGGCAATGCATGATTTACTAATATTTACTTCAAATGGACTGTTTAAGCGTAATTGCATAAGAAACCCTCCATTCCACCATAGTTTCATTAGAAGTAAATATTTCCATTTACTGATAGCGCCGATTGAAGGATTAATAACTCTAATTGGATAATGAGATAGATAGAAAGATAGATGTTACCACCATATTATTTCTATTGGATCAGAATAGACAACAAACACATGACTGAACCCTGATTGGATCAGGTGCTAATGGACTCGGCATACAGGAGTGATTCAGAGATGTTAATGCCCGACTCACAACGGCACCCTTAAAAGCTTTGTCTGATCAAGTATAAATTAGATATCAATGTTTATATTTTTGAAAACTGATAATTTTCAACTGTGGTTTTTCCGCAAAAGTGACTAGCTCATTTCTACTTTAGGAAAATATACAGGAGTTAAAAGAATTTCACCAAGAAAAAGATAATATCTTCCACATTTTTGATCAGAGAATGGTTTCAAGGGTATCATTGTGAACTAGATCTTGCCATCTTTGCATGGGGGAACATGAGGAATCACGAGTTCAGTCCATTTTTAAATATTTAAACAAATTATACATATTCCAAAATATCATGTTTGGAGAACATAAAATAACTATTGTAGACTGTTGACAACTTGTTCTGGTTAAATGTGCGAATTTTTAAATAAGTTTTGCGGTGTTTTTGTTGCAAATTCAAAATTTTAAAATTTGATGATTGCATTCACGTTTAACAAATAAATATTTATTGATAAACATTAAAACAAAGGGCTGTACAAATTATTTAAGTTCATATCAAATTCCGGGTTAGAACTAAATATTATTGAAATTGTCCGTTAATTCTCATTTTTTTTGACGGCTGGTTTTAACAAATAACTTAATGGGTGTTTCCGTTTTCTAACAGAATTTGCTGTTAATTTTCAAAACTTCCATTTCTGTTAACAGATCTTTTTATAATTCAAATGACAAAGAAATGTCAGTAAATAATAATTTCTTTTGATGTGTTATTTTATGAATGGGCACATTTTGAATACCCTTGAACCCATCATCTGATATATAACCGAAATGGAAGGTGGCTTTTCTACAAGTAGAAAGATGTTTATTTCTGAGAACTATTCCATTATTTCCATTATTTCTATTTTGTATATTTGTATATTTGTATATTTGTATATTTGTATATTTGTATATTTGTATATTTGTATATTTTGTATGTTTTGTATATTTGTATATTTGTATATTTGTGTATTTGTATATTTTGTATATTTTGTATATTTGTATATTTGTATATTTTTATATTTGTATATTTGTATATTTGTATATTTGTATATTTGTATATTTGTATATTTGTATATTTGTATATTTGTATATTTGTATATTTGTATATTTGTATATTTTGTATATTTTGTATATTTGTATGTTTGTAGAGAAATCACGAATGAAATTTTCAGTTTATGAAACAAAACATAGATATCTTATTCATACTTGAATACTTTCAAGGATACCATTGTAAATCGAACATGTCAATTTATCAATACAAAAGGTCACTTGAAATTTCGTTTTGCAGTTCCTTTAAACAACCAATTCAATTTACGTAGTCAATCTCTTTAAATATTTACCTTGTCGTTCAAATAATCACGAACTCTACACCACAGCTGCCAATGGGTTTCCTGTAAAAAAACAAATATTTTTCTAAAATGTAAATGTCTAAGGCTACAAAATAGCATAAGTAAGTTAGTGAGGCAAAGTCCAAGGCCAAGGCGTTGCTACACTTTAAAGTTAATCCAATCTTGAAAATTAATGGAACTTTTCATAGCATTCTAGATCTATGTGGGCCACAAGTTCTACAGTTCAAAACTTTTGATTATCACCTAGAATCTCTTCAGTGTAACCTTTTGAATCAAAGGATTTAACATTTAATGTAGGATCTATTAGAAATCCAACTATAGAGATGATTATTAAAGGTTTAAAACAGTGTTAAATTAATATAATAACACGAAATGTTATTTTTAAACCGTTTGCATTCTGCTAAAAAATATTTTATTTGGAAAATCAAAAATTAGTTTTACTGGTAGTTTGTTTGTAAGATTCAAATTTTAGTATTGCAAGGTTCGGATGAAGTTTAGTGAGGCTCATCCCCCTCCCCCCCCCCTCCTCCCTCATGCTTTACCCCTTTTCTACTCCCGGTTCTATACACAATCTTAAACTAAACAGAAGGGCATTGTAAGGTTTAAGAGAGATACAATCCAAACTATTTAGAAGAGAGATCATGCGACTGCTGGAGAACAGTTTACACACATATAAAGATCCTTATCAAAGGCCCATGTCAATTTAGATTAGAAACTTAGAAATAGAAGTTTAAAAAGGGACTGTCAACGTTAAAAAGGGACTAAAAAGAAACTGTCAACGTTAATAAAAGGACAAAAAAGTGACAGTCAACGTTAAAAAGGACTAAAAAAGGACTAGCAACGTTAAAAAGTACTAAAAAGGGACTATAACCTTAAATAAGGACTGAAAAGGGACTATAAACGTTAAAATAAGTACTAAAAAGGGACTATCATCGTTAAAAAAGGAGTAAAAAGGAACTGTCAACGTTACAAGAGACTAAAAAGGGACTGTCAACTTAAAAAAACGACTGAAAAGGGACTGATAAAGTAATTTCAAGAGACACTTTAAAATTATAATGTTTCCCTGTCAACCATCATCTGAGTTCAAATTAGGAAGATATTAAAGATAATTCTGTCAATTTCCTTCTCTGATTCTGCTGTATAAACACGCATGTTACCATAATCCAAAATTATAAACAAATATTTTTGTAATTTTTCACAGACAAAGTTTTAAATGGTTTAAAGTTGCTGTTGTTAATAGGGCATCCAACTATTTAAATTCTTGGTCTCCTGAATACGTGAACAGTTCCTTTAAAGAGAGATTGCAAGAAGGACGGAAGGAGGATTTAAGGAGATTAAATATACATTTAAATCGCTAATATTTGATTGCAAGATTTATCAAGATAAACAAACATGATATAGAAATCTTGTAAACTGAGCTTAAAACTTGTTTTATTATTGATACAATATTGTGATGTTTTATAAATAGATAATTTACAAATATGTGATGAAGCTGAATCAGCTTGAGTTAGAATGTCATGAGAAGGAAAAGAGAAAGGAAGGAGAGAAACAATGACAAGAAGAAGAATCAGAATTTGTCTGTATCAACTGTATCCAATTTATAAGATTAAAAATGTAAAAATAATAAATTGTTAAAAAACAAATAGATAATTTATCAGATAAAAATCAACAATTGCCCCCCCTGTGGTTCTCAATAATAGACTCAGAACAATATTACAAGAACTATCAATCTAGAAATTAAGTTATTATTAATTCTGCAAACTAGAAACAGAAAGAAAATGTTAAATTTATGCAACATTACTAATACGACTTTTTTCGACCTCATAACTCCTATATTTTTGACCACGTAGCTCCTATATTTTTGACCACGTAGCTCCTATATTTTTGATCACGTAGCTCCTATATTTTTGACCTCGTAGCTCCTATATTTTTAACCACGTAGCTCCTATATTTTTGACCACGTAGCTCCTATATTTTTGACCACGTAGCTCCTATATTTTTGACCACGTAACTCCTATATTTTTGACCTCGTTGCTCCTATATTTTTGACCACGTAGCTCCTATATTTTTGACCTCGTAGCTCCTATATTTTTGACCTCGTAGCTCGTATATTTTTGACCACGTAGCTCCTATATTTTTGAAGATAGATAGATAGATAGATAGATAGATAGATAGATAGATAGATAGATAGATAGATAGATAGATACTCTAGAATTCTTAACTGATCATAAATTGAACTGAGCCTCAAGATGAAAAAAGTTTTATTGGTTTCAAGCTCAAAATGTTACAAAACTTTTTTTCAGACTTGCTAAATTCTATTTCTATAAAGTATAAAATAAAAAGTTTTTTTATCATGTACAATAAGCCTCTGTGAGGGAGGTATTTATGTGAAATATACACCCCTAAGGGGGGAAAGATTAATTATGTCAAATATACACCATTGAGCGGGGAGGGGGAGATGTATTTATGAGAAATACACATCCCTGAGGGGGGGGGGGTGTATTAATAATGTGATATATACATCCCTGAGGGGGGGGGGTCTTTGTGTGAAATATAAACCCCTTAGCATGGGACCAACCCTTCAGCACAGCTAGGAACAAAAACTAGAGTAGGGATTGTAAAATATATATTTATGCATCTTAAAGTTACACCTTACATTTGTTTTATAATCAACCCCCCCCCTTTCATTCCTCCCCTTTCATCCCTTCCTCCCCTTTCATCCCTTCCTCCCCTTCTTGATAATATACATAAAATGAAAAAACTTCAAATCATTCGAATGAATTAAAATTCCTATAATAATAAAGACGTCAAAACTTCCAGAGAGACGTATATAGCTGGCCAGATTGATTCTGGGAACTGATTAAGATACAGACACAATAATTAGTATTACAGTGTGTCCCACATAATATGACAATCTAAAGAAGACTTAATATTATATTAAGTATTTCTTGGTGTAAAACAAGTAAAACATATAATTACAAAAATGAAAATATTTTGTTCTTCATCAGGGAATTGATGTGAACAAAAATTATTCACTTTGCTTGTTTGTTTGGGTGTTTGTATGTTTGTCTGTGTCCAATAATCGTCATAACCAAAAATGCCTAATTTTTTGTGGGACCTCTCATGTCACCAGCGAAGGTTTATGGATGCTTAGAAAAATCTATTTTCGTAAAATGTTGAAAATCCAAGAAATACGATAAAAGGTATAAAGTTTTTTGTTGTTTTATATTGTTCGAGAGAAAATGCTCATGGATAGAGCCACAATTTAAAGTTAAAAAGCAAGACATATTGTGTGAAGCACCCTAAAAGCCTTTTATATATCAAATTATTGATATTAAAATTCTAATGCATTGTCTGGATTATAAGTAAAATCATATCAAAAGTTATGAAAATACCAGTTTTTCAGATTATCTATCTTTCCACTTTCCAATTCATCGAATACACTCCCTGATATTTGAATATTTTGGAGAAGACGGGATTAAAAAAGGATAAAAATCTTGAATCAATAAACCATGCACCCCTGCCCCACCCCTCCTTTGATTTATCCCAAACCAGGGGCGTATACCTGAAACTTTCGGAGAGGGGGGGGTTTCAAATTTTTCATCTTCCCAGGGATGAGGCAAATTACTAAATATCCCCCCTCCCAGTGTATACGCCCCTGTCCCAAACAACCATATTATGTATATTTCAGCACGATCGGGTTTCAGAGTTCAGACACAAAATATAAACGACAGCAAACATGTTTTTTTTCCTCTATAATGTTTAGTTAATTATAACACTAAGAACGTCACTGTCTATTTGAAGTGTAATTTACAGAGACACTTAATGCAAAGATAGCAATGCCCGATTCACAACAGTACATTTTAAGCTTTTATTTGATCAATAATGTGGGAGATATTGACGTTATTCTAGACTTAAAAGTGTTTCTGACAATTCCTTTATGTTTTCCTGCAGTAGAAATACGCAAGTCAATTTTTTTGAGAACCCAAAATTTCAAAAGTCAATTTTCAAAATTATTAACATTGATATTTAATTGATGCTTGATCAGACAAAGCTTTGGAAGGTACCGTTGTAAATCTTTGCCTGGAGGGTCACTTGACATCAAGTCTACAGTTCCTTTCAGGACAGGTTTGTGAACCATACCCCATAATTCATGTTTAGAAATCGGATTTATCTTTTTAATGCTTTTTCAGCTGAAAACTTTTAAGCTTTCATATCTATGCTGAGCAGAGTTTAGGGGAAATGAAGTCAGACAACCAAATGATATGTTTAATTTATTGTAAAATTTCAAGTCAAGAATTTATGAATGAAAATTTATAATGGAACAAGTTAGAACCAGATTAAGTTTAGGTGTGAAGCACAGGATAAGTGGTTTAACTTGGTAAATATAGTTCAACTATTTTCATAGAAGTCCTTGCTTTAATAGTTCGCTTTTGTCACTTTAGACTTTTCTCCCCTTTTCTAACACAATTTTAGATTTTTACTGTTGCCTTTTCAAGCTGCCATTTTTTGTTTAAACATTGGAAAATCGAAAATCCGCGGATTTATCTGTCAGCATTGATGGATATCCAAATTAATTTATCGGCATTTTTCAATTTAGACCATCTAAAACATAAGTATCTGTATTCAGTATTCTGTAATCTGTATACCTGGGTAAGTAAGGATAAGTATCCTAGTATTCTGTATACCTGGCTAAGTAAGGATAAGTATCCTAGTATTCTGTATACCTGAGTAAGTAAGGATAAGTATCCTAGTATTCTGTATACCTGAGTAAGTAAGGATAAATGAGGTATTCTACTAGTATCAAATATACTAGATTTAGATGAGTATGAATCTGGTTTTAATAAACCAGTTGTAGCTGGATCAGATAGTAGACGCTCAACTAGTTCATTTACTCTAAACAGAAATATATTTGTAGAAATTAAAGGCACAGATTCCGAAACAGCTTTTAAAAATATCTACATTATAGTTATTTTTTATCCCAGATATTGTAGAACCCATAAAACTGTTAATATCAAGATAGGCTATTCTTAAAAGATAATTACAGAAGAAGGTGGGGGGGGG